TCTCCCCCTCTCTCCCTCTCTCACTCCCTCTCTCTCTCCCCCCCTCCCCACTCAAGCCTCATCCAGCGGTGGGAACTTGCTGGTAAGAGCACTCCTTTCTTCTGGTTGGTGAGATGACCAGCCAGCTGTGACTTGGAGAGTCTGTGTGTCTTTGGCTTTTCAAGCTACTTCTTTGAAAGGTTTTCACTGATTTCCAGGGAGAGTTCCAGAAGAAGCAGTACACATAGGAGAGAGAGTGCAGCCTTGGGATTAAGACAAGGAGTATCCAGAGTGGGCTTTGCTGCCAACCACACAAAACCCACGTGGGCCACAAAGTAATTGTATGTGAATGGGGTGAACCACTAGACCTGGTACTTACGGGTGGGGCTCAGAGCCCTGCCTGGTCCATCCAGCATGTAGGAAGGGGATGGCTGTCACGAGGTTAATACCATCTACAAGTCAGGCACTTCTACATATGCTGTCTCATCACCTCCCCGTAACTACCCTGTGAGGAAACACAATGCCCATTTTTAAAAGAAGGAGACTGAGCTTCAGAGAGGCTAGGAGTGCTCACCACACAGTGGAAGGTGGCAGACTTGAACTCCAACCCAGGCTCCTGTCCCTCAGGAAGCACCAAGGCACAAGCAGAGAACAGCAGGACACCGATCAGCACAACACTCCTCAACCCTCACACACACACACTCCTTACTCTCCCCTACACACACACACACACACACACACACTCCCCTATCCCCACCCCTAGCAGAAGGGGCAACTACCCAAGAAGGGACAGCATCCAATCTATGACATGGGGCATCACTTAAGTGAGGAGTTACTATTAAGCCCAAATGTAGTCACCAGCCTAAGCACACAGGCACACATACATATGCTAACACCACCCCTTTCTTCCTCCTCTGAGCCTGCTCTGAGGTCATTCAGCCAGCCCCCCAGTGTGAGCTGCCTCCAGTGGTGGCCTTCCACACAATACCGGCCATGGGCCTCTCGATCCCACGATCTTCACCTGCCTCTTGGGTTAGAGGCATTTCAGATCTAGGAGCAAGCCCTCAGTGCTGCAGGAAAACACAGGAGATCTCATCTACCATCTCCACCAGAGAAAATCGATACACAGGGAAAAAAAGGCCTCTTTGATGTGTGCAAAGAGAGTCATAATATCTCCCAGAGCTAATATCTATCTAATGATTCAGAATCATTTTTTCCATGAGACCAAAAAATAAAAAAATAAAAATGTTCTCTCTTCCATAGATTTCACAACCTGATGCTCACAGTAGCTGCCTTGTGAAAATAACTTTA